AGGCCTCTTTAAACTACATGGAGAACTTTATAAAAACAACCCTATTTTCAGATATTTGTAATACGAGGGTGGGCACTAGGGTATAATTATTACCTGGTAGGGCATAGCTACCACTTTTAACCGCTAAATACGGTACCAAAATGTTTCCATTAAAAAAGTATTGGTCCACTTTTTCTAATAGTACCCATATAACGGTACACCCCAACCTAATTCGCTGTAATTTGGCATTTTATAGTTGTTTTTGGTAACATATCTCCTTACAAAAAAAAATATTTTGGGAATAGCCCTCTTTTTGTACCCTTCACTCCACTGTGGTACAGGGAATTAAGTCTTTGTGCATATGTTTGTAACGGACAAAAGGAAAAGAGATAAACACATGGTTCCTTTTGAGAATATTCATAGTATCGCTTTCTGAGTCGATTTATGCCTGCCCATCCGTCCGACTGTTGATGTTAAATTGTAAACAAAGTACAGGTCGCATTTATGATCCGAATTGGATGAAATTTGGCGCAACTCATTTGTTTGGGCCAAGGACGAACTCTACTGAAATTGGGAAAAATCGGTTCTGATTTAGATGTAGCTCCTACATATATATTCGTCCGATTTAAGGTAAATGGTGCACTAAACTCCCTATATTGCTTTCGATTTGCACGAAATATGGCATAGCGTACTGAATTGGGTAAATAATGATGTGTATTAAGTTTAGTGAAAATCGGTTCAGATTTAGATATAGCTCCCATATGTGTTTTTCTTCCGATTTAATGTAAATGGTGCACCAAAGTCCCTTTATATCCTTCTATTTGCACGAAATTTTACATCCCGTACTGAATTGAGTCTAGAATGGTGTGTGCTAAGTTTCATGAAAATCGATTCAGACTTAGATATAGCTCCCATATATATTTTCGTCCGATTTTATGTAAATGGTGCATCAAAGTCCCTATATATCTTTCGATTTGCACGAAATTTCGCACAGCGTATCAATTTCCTTCGAAGGAACATTGACATGAAATTGTTAGGATACGTACGTAGAATATACCGGAAGTGGTGAAGGGTATCATATAGTCGGCCCCCAGTCTGACTTTACTACTTTCCTTACTGGGTTTATAATTGAATCTTTACTCCTTTGTTATTTACTTACATCCTCTCTTTACATATTAAAATAAAACACAACTATATTTAATTTTGCATGTGTGCTCATTATTTTTTATTTATTTTTCTTATCGTATATTATTTTTACATTATTTTTCTATATAATTTTTTTTACAACATTAAAAATATAATAAATTATAACGATTATCTTTTCTATTTGGTTTATATTTGAATAAATTACATATCCTTTTATAAAGAAACATAAGTAGATCACAAAAAATAATAATAATAAATTAAAATGAAATAATTGTATATATAAATATATAAAAAATGTTATCTATACATTTTTATTTAAAAATATAGGATTTAAAAAATCCTTAACATTTTCAAAATGGCTGTTTGTTTAACTATGTGTAAGGATCAACCTCTATTTTGCAGACAAAAAGAAAATTTAAATTTAATAAAAAATAAATAATAATAACAATTGGTGTGACATATTTTAAAAAAATACTGATGTATACAATATTATAATAAAATTATGCGAGTTATGTGTTGATGTAGTTAGTTGTTGAATGTATTTGTTTTCTTTTTCAAGGTACATTTGTTTTTTCTTTGCAATTATTTGGCAAATTGGCGTTGCAGTGAAAATTAAATTATCTATGTGTAGATTTGTGATTTAAAACAAATATTTAAATGATATATAATTTGAGCTATATTTTTTTAAGACAGGAACTTAAACAAAATTAAAATTTTGAATTCTTTAATTTTTATTTTAGAATGATTTTTTTTCTTTCGAAGTCGTTAAAATAGTATTGTTGAGAATTTTTAGAAAAAATTATAAGCATTGAACGAAAAACATTTCATTGGAATTGTCATAAAGTAACGCCGAATGTCCTCATGAGGAATTCCTAGTAAATATATTAAGGAGGTTCGGTCGTTAATAAAAATCTTAAAATTTTAGCAGAAATGTATACGAAGAGAATATGATGCCCAATTCAGTCCCATGTAGCAATTCGTTCATTATTTTTTTGTTTTTGTAATAAAATGAAATTGAACTAAATTTGTATTAAATAACAGTGTGACAATCGTTATAAAAATACTAAATGGATTTGTGAAATATTTAAGTCTGGGCAATGACAAACATGCAGGACTGTTTCGAAGGATAATAGTGAGGTACTTCCCTGTTTTGCTTCGAAGACGTGGGTTTATTCATTGCACCACATCACTGTTTGGGATTTCTTTATAAAAATGTCGTCATTAAGACACCTGAAATTTCAAGTTAAAGCATTCAAGCATATCGGTTAAAAATTCCTTCAAAATACCAGAAATCGTGTGGGATGGTGGTTTATTTTCCATTGGCTACTTTTGAATACAGACGAAAAGGGATACCAACAATTCGTAATAACGCTTTCAAGTTCCGATAATCGGGGTATACCAAAATGTAAAACAATTTTGACCTTTTTAAGGCATAAACCCGTATCACATATTTACAGAAAAAAGCATGCTGCTGTTTCAACAACTCTGTAATGGTCTCATCTCATAGATCTTTAGAAACGTGATCAGGATATTTCATGGAACAAAGGTACTTGAATTCGATCAGTGATATATTTGAGAGAGGATGCGTACCACAAGGTAATATGCATATTAAAAAGTCTATCAAACCCCAAAAATGTGAATTATCAATGCAAAATGCAAAAAAAAAACTATCCAGGCTAATTTCAATCCTCCCTCTTATTTCATTTTTTTGTTTCCTATAGTGACCTATAGTATCGACCAAAGATCTCCTTATGGAGCAACTGCAGGTTTATATTTCAAATCGCGTATTCTAACATAAGCACAAGGATGCAGGGGACATAAATCATACCCATACCTAATATATTCGATTTTCAGCTGGCTTCAGTTAGCAAAATTGTGAATTAAACCGATAGAAAGTGAATATTTTTAAACCAAACTGTTAACTGAGACACAAGACTGTCAAATGTTTATGCAAAGAGCGATAATCAAAGATCGACCGATATTTAAAATTTTTAATAGCAAGGTTATCTGTAGGGATTAAGCAAATTCAAAAGTCGGTCGGGGCAAAATTTCGTGTCAATATGACGAACATGAGGAGTTTGGTGCACCATTTACTTAAAATCGGACGAAAATATATATGGGAGCTATATCCAAATCTAAACCGACTTCGACAATCGATTCAGATTTGAATACTTAAAATCGGACGAAAATATATATGAAAGCTATATCCAAATATGAACCGATTTCAACAAAACTTGATACACGTCAGAGTATTCTAACTTCAGTACGTTGTGCAAAATTGTGTGCAAATCGGCCTAACTTTCAATCGTTGGTGCACCATTTACGTAAGATATGACAAAAATGTATATGGGAGCTATATCTAAATCTGATCCAATTTCAACAAAACTTCGCATACATCAATCTGGACCAAATTCAGTACGCTGTGCAAAATTTATTGTCAAATGGCCTAATGTTGGGGCACCATTTACTTAAAATCGGACGAAAATATATCTAATCTGTTCCGTTTTCAACAAAACCTAAGTTACATTAATGTGGACCTAATTCAGTATACTGTGGATAAAATTTTGTCGATCGGCCTAACTTTGAGTCTTTGGTGCACAATTTACATAAGATATATATGAGAGCAATATCTAAATATCTAAAGTGGACCTAATTCAGTACGCTGTGCAATATTTTGTCTCGATCTGACAAATATTGGGAGTCTGTTGCGCCATTTAGATAAAATCGGACGGAAATATATCTGAGAACTGTATCTAAATCCGAACCGATTTTCTCCAATTTCAATAGGGTTCGTCATTGGGCCAAACAAATTAGCTGTGCCAAATTTCATCCAATTCTATGCATATCCTCTAAAGAAACCATATGCCCATCTCGTGTCCTTTAGCCTGTTACAAACATATGCACAAAGACGTAATAAAAATTGGATCAGATTTGGTTGGAAAAAAGTTGCTTAAACTCCACAAAATACCGATAATTGGGAGGTACCGTTAAATTGGGGATTCCATGAAAATTGAATTATCATTGATAATTTTTTGTAGGAAAATTTGGTACCCACAGAGAAACCCCAAAATTACAAATTACAACCGATTACCAAACTTCCTACTTACATTTTGGGGGTATCATTATATGACATCTAACCTTAAAAATGAACCTAATTGAGAATATAAAACACAAAATTAAAATCAATTCGGTTGAAAAAAAAAACCTGCCTTAAATATCAAAAATACCAAAAAGTGGACCAATATATACCACCAATAACAAAGGCAATCATGCTATATGGTACAGATGTTGACATCTGATCAAATGTAATAGAAGACAATTATGACGGAAGAGAGCCTTTTTCGAAATATAGTTTTTTTACAAATTCTTTCAATACGACTGATCAAGATTTTTGACCTCTTTCTCTTTCATGTTACAATCAATCACAAATTATTGACATTTTTTGAAATTGATATATTAATGTTATTGATCCCAAAGCCAGTGTGAATAAAGAATTTGCTAAATTAGAATCGAAAAAATCACTCATGAATGAAAATCGTGTTTGTAATATGAAACTTTAAGCAATACCTTATACCGTCTTACAATACAAAAATAGTATGAAGTGTAAAGTATGTAAATGAGAAAGAATGTTATGTATTAATAGATTAAATAATAATTGTGCATATCCAATAATTCAAATGTGGGGTGGGGAAACAAAAACAAAAAATTCTCTAGCGAAAAAATTAAAACTTGAGCAAAAACATTTCTACAACAATAACTATTTCGTATACCAGAAGTACATATAACAAAAAAAATATTTTTGCTATTCTCAAAATGACTATCCTGACCCCAAATATTCCCATAACCATTACTTCCCCCTTTTTCCCTCCATTCCATTAAGTTCTTGCATTTAATGTACTTTGACTAGTGCTAGCGGAGAGACCCATTTCTTCATCGGATTCATCTGAATCTAAAGGACTAACCCTTATGGCCTGATACCATTTATTGGTCAAATCGGCCATTTGTGATTTACACTCGTGCAGTTCTTGACTATTAAAACGCCGTGTAAAGAATGGTATAAAATATTTACGATCCAGTCGGCCAAATCCAGCTATACGTGTCTGAGCAAAACTAACATCCTCTTCTTCGGTTAGCTCAGATAAATGTTCCGAATCAATGGCTTGACCCCATTCACGTGTCTTCGACAACGATATCGATTTGGAACGTTTACGTGAATTGCTGCGTGTACGCGATGAGGAAGAGGCCGCACCACCACCACTACGACCCGAACGTGAACGACGTTTTTTACCCGGTTTTAAATATTTCAATAGCGGCATTGTGCTCCCGCCAAATACCAATGTCGTAAAGAGCACAATAATTAATGTTGTGGTGATAATGACATGCCGCGTCTCATCACTCGATAAATCTAAATGCAGCGAAAGGGCATAGGAAATGGCACCTCTCAACCCAGAAAACCACATAATAAATTGCATTTTATTTGTGATTTTATGTTCACGAAATTTATTCACCAAATAGGCTAACGGGAAAATATTACACGCCCTACCAATCAAACACAACACCATGGACCATATCACAAATGACAGCTCCACTTGATGTTTAAACGAAAATATGGCCAAACCCAAATAGGCAAAGACACAAGTTTCGGCTATAAAGGCCAAGGTACGCATTGTCTGTTGCATTGTAATCTGAGTCACTGTGGACAAATTGAAATGTGTATAATGGGACATAACAATACCACAAAATAATATAGCCATAATACCGCTCAAGTGTATACCCTCCGCTAGAACATACGGGGCATATGTAAACATTAACATTATGGCAAATTCCAATGAAGGATGTTTTCTCAAATCAATGTGTTTCAATAAGAGTGCAGAAATTAAAGCAAATATTACCCCAATACCGGCCGAAGCAAAAAACATTTCACAGAAAGTCTTCAGGGCAGAGAAGATAGCCTCACCTGTTGTCATCTTGGCGTAGAGTGGACTATTTGCTGATTGTGTTACCGTTGTTGTTAGCACAATTGAAATAGCATCGTTCAATATACTCTCACCGAATACCAACATGTTAAGTATCGGATCAACATCCAGGGCGTGAAATATGGCAACTGTAGCAACGGGATCAACGGCTGATATTAACGAACCGAATGCAAAGGATTCGGAAAAGTTAAGGCTGTAAATAAAATTAAAAGAAAATGGTGTTAATTAAATCTGTTGTAAATCTGGGTCAGTGATGAAATTTCCATATAAATGTGGGAGCCGGTAAAGAGCCCCAAAATTTAGACATTGATATACGTTTCAAATGACGTACATTTTGATAAGAAATATAAATAGAAAGAGATCGTTGGGTCCCATTTTGGGACAAGATATATGTCTGTTAAAAGTATTACGATATGCAAACGATTTGGATTAAATCGGACATTGAATTCGTTTGATATTGAATTAACAAATTTTCAAACTATTGACACAGGCAGACACCAAAAGGAACGGACCGATGGGTCCCATATTTGGATTTGATCTAGCCAAAGTAAAAATATTATGATATGTCAAGTTTTGGTCAAATCGAACATTCCATTCGTTTGATATTGAATTAAGAAATTTTCAAAATACTGACACTTTGTGGGGAAGGTACCAGAAGGAATGATCAGGGATATGATCTAGGTTTGGAAAAAAGTATTACGATATATAGAGTTAGGGTCAAATCGAACATTCCATTAATTTGATATCGACCAAAAAATTTTCAAAATACTGACACTTTGTGTGGGAGGTATCGATAGGTTCCATCTTCGGACATGATCCAGGTTTGGAAAAAAAGTATTACAATGTATAGAGTTAGGGTCAAATCGAGCATTCCATTAGTTTGATATTGAATTAAGAAATTTTCAAAATACTGACACTTTTTGTGGGAAGTGTGGGCCGATGGGTACCATCTTCGGACTTGATCAAGGATTGGTAAAAATAATGTTTGGATCAAATCAAAATTTAAAATTTAAATCCTTTGTGGGTGAGGTAAATCCCACCTCCAAACAATATAAAGGCTTTATAAAACTATTAGGTTGTGTAAAGTTTCGTTCAAATCGAATAGTCCGTACATTTTGTATGGGAGGTACCAGAAGGAGTGGGCCGATATTCCATATTCGAACTTGAATTTAGTTCGGAAGAAATACTACGATGTGTAAAGTTTGGATGAAATCGGATACTCCTTTCGAGAGTTATCGTTCGCACAAGCCAACCAACCAGACAGGCGGACGAATATTTGTAAATCAACTCCAAATTGTTTAAAATGGATTTTGTCCAAAGAAACATAGGGTCCACAACCAATATTTCGATAAAACACATTTTTGCCGTATCAAAGTGTATATACCCTCATTAGTCATAAGGCTAAGGATATTTAAAATCCGGACAGTTCTTAAAAATATATGTTTAAAAACCCACGCTTATGGATAGTCATTGATCCAATTTAGGCTTTTGGTTCGGATAGCCCTTGAAAAAAAAATAGATCAAAAAATCCAAATTTATGGTTCGCCTAGTCCTCCAAACAGTTTCATAATTTTCTGAGAGGTATCCGTAAAGTCCATTGACGCCAAAAATCTAAACTTAGGGTTTGCATAATCCAGCAAAAAATATATTTAAACCCGTAACCCTTCACCACTTTGGGTACATAGAAGATATGCTCATATGTACAATATCCTTTTGATAGAATAGACATAGCATATTTGGATCATCAAAAGTTCGCATACATCAATCTGGGCCTAATTCAGTACGCTGTGCAAAATTTTGCCTCAATCGGACCAATATTGTCATGCTGCTCCATTTAGATAAAATCGGACGAGACTATATATGGGAGCAATATCTGAATCTCAACCGATTTCAACAAAGCTTGGCATACATAAATTTAGACCCAATTCAGTACTCTGTGCAAAATTTTGTCTCAATCGGACCAATATTCCTTCGTCCTTGGGCCAAATAAGTGACATGTGCCACATAAATGCGACATATACTTTGTTCAAAAAAATACATGGACAGGCGGACAATGTGATGTAAGGTATAAACATACACGCCTTTAATTAGGGTAGTCCATTAGGAAAATTTCCTCCGCCCTTATAATTTGGATAGTCCTTCAAGAAATATTCTGCTATGTCTGAAAAAATATTCTTTAAAAACCCTTTCCTATAACTTTTCTGTCTTGAAGAAATATTCTTTAAAAACCCACTCCTATAACTTCTCTATCTTGAAGAAATATTCTTTAAAAACCCACACCTATAACTTTTCTGTCTTGAAGAAATATTTTTTAAAAACCCACTCCTATAACTTCTCTATCTTGAAGAAATATTCTTTAATAATCCACTCCTATAATTTCTCTGTCTTGAAGAAATATCCTTTAAAAACCCACTCCTATAACTTCTCTATCTTGAAGAAATATCCTTTAAAAACCCACTCCTATAACTTCTCTATCTTGAAGAAATATTTTTTAAAAATCCACGCCTAAAATGCTGTTATGGCTTTAAGAAATATTTTTTAAAAATCCAGGCCTAAAATGCTGTTATGGCTTGAAGAAATATTCTTTAAAAATCCACGCCTAAAATGCTGTTATGTCTTGAAGAAATATTCTTTAAAACTCCACGCCTAAAATGCTGTTATGGCTTGAAGAAATATTCTTTAAAAATCCACGCCTAAAATGCTGTTATGTCTTGAAGAAATATTCTTTAAAAATCCACGCCTAAAATGCTGTTATGTCTTGAAGAAATATTCTTTAAAAATCCACGCCTAAAATTCTGCTATTGTCCTGAAGAAAGATTCTTTAAAAATCCACGTCTGAAATGCAGCTATGTCTTTAGGAAATATTCTGTAAAAAATCCACGCCTAAAATTATTTAAAAATCCTCGCCTATAATTATGCTAAGCCATGAGAAAATATACTTTTAAAATCCTTGTCTTAAAATGCTGTTAGGTCTTGAAGAAATATTCTTTCAAAACCCACGTCTGAAATGCAGCTATGTCTTGGGAAAATATTCTTTAGAATATCCAGGTTTTTAACTTCTTTTCAGCACTGTAGGACAAGCCTGCTTGAATTATAGTCACCTCATCGCTTTGTTGTTTTAAAATTGTAGAAATATCGCGTTTTCGCTTTCTGCTATTTTTGAGCTGAAAGCAATGAGCTGCCTTATAGTCTGCCTTCTTTGTACACCCACACTTCCTCCATCCACTGCTACTTTTTAGCATTTAATTTTTTTCTATTCACAAATAACCGTTTTATTTCTTATCAGTTGAAAAATGTTTGAATAAATTGAATTTCATTACTTATACCATTATGCTTTTCACCTAAAACCCCCATCAAAAATACCTCTATAGGAAACAAACGAAAGATAAAAAAACAAAAACACTTGTATACACCACTTACCGATAAGCAACCTCAGCCAAACCCAACAAATATATGCCAGCTCCAATAACCAAGGCTGATATTGTCGTACCGACAATGGCAAATACCAGTATGGAACCAATATTTTGAAAAAAGTTACCCTTATGCAAATTATAACCAGATTCAAAGATAATGGGTGGTAGCAAAACCAAAAAGAACCCAGTCGGCGAAAAGACTTCTTCACGTTTCCAGCTGGCATTTTCTCCGGACATTACCTTCAGCAGTAGACCAATAAGGGCACCCAAAAATACCACAACAATAGATTCGGGTAAATATTGGAAACCCGTTTGTAACATCGAATGTATGAGCAGGATACCCAACATAATGACACAGATCACAAAGAATAGGGATAGGGATGAATTGTGTTCTTGCTCCACGGCATGATGATCTGGCAGTGGAGGTTCTGTAACGGCCTTTGTTTCATTTTGTTGTGCAGAGGTATTTGCAGCAGCAGATGGTGTTGGTGGTGATATGGAGGTTGTTGAGGAACTGGAATCACCATTTGCCATGGGATTGTTTTCATTGGTGGATGAGTTGTTGTTAATGTTGCCATTGGTTAGATTAGCAGGATCCGCTGGTGCATTGTGGTTTCCTGAAGAATCTCCCGTAGCAGTGGCATTTGTTTGGGTTTTATTATCTCCCGATAAGGGGACATTATTTGCATTGGGGCCATTTGGGGCAAGGTTGGTTTGTTGTTGTTGTTGTGGATTTTGTTCTTCTGCCCTTATCGTAACCGTGAAAATGCTGGATAATGTTATCAACAGCACCACTAATGCACAGTATGTGATTGTTGTTGAGGTTCTTGCACGATTTCTTGCCATATTTCATCACCATAGGCTTTACAAAAATTTCATTAAAATCAGGACGTATTTTGGAATTATATAGATTATTTAATTTTAATTACTTTGCGTCGGATACAACTATTAACATTTGTAATTGCCGTGTTTTTCACGAAAGTTCCACAAATAACAACAAAAATAGTTAAACTGTTACTCATTTCATTTTTCCAACTGAGTCGTGTGTTCAATTCGTTGGGTTAGCCGAGGGTGACCTAATGTAAAAACGTTTTCCATGCTACGTATAAAGGGAGAGTGGAGAAAATCACTGATAAAAACCAAAGCGAAACAAAAATGGATGGCTCCATCATGTTTACGAATGTGTGTGAAGCATAACGGCGTGGCACCTCATCATGTTTAGAATAGTAGATGGGGAAAATGGCAATCAGCTGATACGAATCGTGTGGGGAACAATTGCAAGAAAACGACTTAGACGTGTGTTCAATGGAAATATTCACTGAAGCGAACTTTGTGAACCAGATGAAATCATTTCCTTTCAATAACATTGTAATATAAAGCATTTTATATATTTAGGGCACTTTATATTATGAAATGGAATTAATTACATAAATAATGTATATGTCTGCTTAATTAGTAAAGCGATTTAACAGGATAGAGTTAAGAAATATATATAAGAACTAGTTCCTTTTGTGAACAGGAATAATGAATATTCATCACTTCAGTGAACACCTTGCAAATTGAATAAAATGTGTACAGTACTTACACCAATGAGGACGTAACGTTAATGTAACGAACCTTCAAATAAATTTCACGCATAAAGCCTAAATTTAAAATTCTTTTGCGTCTTGAAAAAATTGTCCTTGAAAATCCACGCCCATAATTCTGCTATAATTTGAAGAAATATTTTTTAAAAATCCACGCATATAATTCTGCTATGTCTTGAAGAAAAATTTCTGAAATTCGAGCCTATAATTCTGCTATATCCTGAAGAAATATTCTTTAAAAGTCAACGCATTTTTTTATTTTATTTACTATCAATATTTCAATCTTAGTTATTTAACAAAGTTTTGAGTTTTATTTTTGAGATAGCTTGAAGGAAGTTTGGGATCATTTCCTTTTTATGTATCAGAATTATATTAGTTAATTTATATTCACGAGGAAAATTCGAAAACCTTAAATAAAAATTAAATATATTAACTAAAAAAGCGTAAGCAGATTGTGACAGATTTTCATGTAATGTATTGTTACGAATATAACTTTAGATTTAAGTTAATTTAGATGAATTCCGTTAATTTAAGAATTTGAATTGTAACGTAAATTTCTACTACGCAGTTTATTTGAATAACTTCACAACAACAACCACTGTATAGATTTTTCTACATCCTTCCATTTCCTCTTTCATTTTCTATTTTGTTATTGTCGTACAATTCTTGTTAAACGTCATTCCTCTTTCTTTGTTATTCCCTCGCCTGTATATGTGTTGTTGTTATTCCTCTTTCTTTGTTATTCCCTCGCCTGTATATGTGTTGTTGTTATTGTAAGTTTGTTTACTCAAGTTTGTTGTTGTTATTGTTCACTCAGTAAGTTTGTTGTTGTTATTGTTACTCAATGTGTTTGTTGCATTGGTAGATTGTTCGTGATCTAGGTGTTACCAGATCGTCTAGAAACTTCTGTAGCGACAGGCAGGGCTCATATAAATAGAGGGAATGGAAAGGCAGTGAGTCAGTGGTGAATCAGATCGCGAATTGAAACCGTCGTGTAAAGTAAAGTGCAAAGTAAAGTTGTGTGAATAAAGTCATTGTAATAATCGTAATCTGAACGAACCCGCGTTTTATTTGGTACGAACTGTATCGGGAAATAAAACAACGACTACACGGGAATAAGTGAAGTCCAAGAACGTAACAATTGGTGTCAGAAGTGGGATTACGATAGTACTACGATGAAGTTTAAGGATCTACGAGTGGAAGACTTGAAGAAGGAGCTGAATAAATTGGAATTGTCCTCTACTGGCAACAAGGCTGAACTCCAAAAACGTCTGTTGGATGAGTTCGAGCGCCGTGGTATGAACATCGATACATATGAGTTTGACAGTAAGGATGAAGTGGATTTATCGGAAATGGGCGAATCCAACGGTGGGGAAGTCTCGTCAGTAGCTGCCAGGGGTGACGATTTCAGAGAAATGCTGGCTAAAATGTTCGAAGAGAATTCCAGAAACACGAGACGAATGTTCGAAGAGAATTCCAGAAAGTTAGATGAACTCAAGGCGGAGAATTGTAGAATGTTTGACGAGAAACTCGAGAAAATTACAGAAGTTATTGGAAGGAGAGTGGAAACCGTGGAGGTCCAAATTAAAGAGTTGGATAAGAAAGTGCAGTCGGTCGACGAGAAGATTCTGTCTGTGGATGAAAAATTTCTGGCCCACGACCACAGGTTTACGAATCTGGAGAAGAAAATGTCGGAACTGGAAATCAAAGGTGGTCCGGTCCGAGTTCCTGATAACACGCTAAAAATCAAACCTCCTGTATTCGACGGCTCTACGTCATTCAATGTTTTCAAGTTACAGTTCGAGACAGTGGCTTCTAGAAATTCGTGGAACGACAGCGACAAAGCGGTTGCACTACTTCTGGCATTGAAGGGCAGTGCTGCTGATGTTATACAGAGTATTCCTGTCGCTTCTAGAAGCAACTATGAAGATGTTATTGCTGCACTGGAACGTAAGTACGGTGGCGAACATAAACAAAACATCTACCTTATGGAATTAAGGGGAAGAGTACAGAGGGCAAACGAGACGTTACAAGACTTCGCAGCTGAGGTGGAACGTTTGGTGCTAATGGCGTATCCAGGAGAGAATCACCCGTTGCTGGACCGTATGAAAATCGAAACCTTTGTGAATGGCATACGTGACCCTGAGATTAAATGTGCAACATATGCGTCACCAAAAGCGTCATTTGCCGAAACTGTGTCGTTTGCCCTTGCCCAAGAGACGGCAAGAATAATTGTTAAGCCCCAGACCCACAAGATTCGCCAACTGGAGACCGAAGATTGCGAACCCAAATCTCTCGTTAACTCGATCAAGGACGCCATGAGGCAGGTAATAGAAGAAACAAAGTTAGCAGGGATGACTAAGCCCAGGATTAGATGCTACAACTGCGATAAAGCAGGTCATATTGCGCGCGAATGCAGAGCTAAGCGCAAACGATCCAGGTCATCGTCACCACCTCCAACGAAAGATGGTAGAAGAATGGCTCAACAGTCCACCAATGAGTCACCGTTAAACAGAATCGAGCACAGAGAAGGCGGAAAACGCGGTAATGCTGATGCCCTGTCTCGTCGGCCATGCAAGGTAGAATACAGGCACTGCTCAAAGGCCGAGTGCAACGAGAATATCGTTGATGTCCGACGATTGCAGTTTGAGTCGGGTGAAGATTGGTCGACGGAACAACGAGGGGATCCCATTCTGGGCAAAATAATTTCGGCCATAGAAACGGGCAAGCGACCTAGTCGGAAAGAAATTACCTCCGAGAGCCCTCTTTTAAAATCCTATTGGGCGCAGTGGGACAGTCTACTTATAATAGATGGTTGCCTATATCGCAAATGGGAAAGTGAGGACGGTAAATCCCACCGGAACTTGATCGTCGTCCCAGATTCTAAAATAAGAGATGTCTTGTCGGAGTTTCATGATGGGCCAAGTGGAGGACACCTTGGCATAGCAAAGACCGCTGAAAAGGTAAAGCAGAGATTTTACTGGGTCGGCTGTCAAAAATCCATTGCCGACTGGATCGCCAATTGTGAAAGGTGCATAAGAGCTAAAGGTCCAACACGGAAGAGTCGAGGCTACATGCAGCAGTATAATTCAGGAGCACCTTTTGAAAGAATCGCAATGGATGTAGCTGGACCGTTCCCAACAAGCGACTCTGGGAACCGGTATGTCTTAGTGGTCATGGATTACTTCAGTAAATGGCCAGAGGTTTATGCTATCCCAAATCAAGAAGCCAGGACAATTGTGGATGTGTTCAGCAAAAATTGGATTTGTCGCTATGGTGTTCCATCTGAGGTTCATTCCGATCAAGGTAGGAATTTTGAATCAGCGATCTTCAAGGAAATGTGTGACTCCTACGGAATCAAGAAAACCAGAACGACGCCCCTACATCCACAATCAGATGGCATGGTGGAAAGATTCAATCGCACCCTTGAAGAACATCTACGGAAAGTGGTGGACAGTGGCCAACGAGACTGGGATGAGCATATTCCAAAGTTTTTATTGGCTTATAGATCGGCCATTCATGATTCCACATCCCGGACCCCAGCCAAAGTTCTGTTCGGAAATGAATTAAAGCTACCTGGCGATTTGATATTCGGCGCTACCCCAAACGACGATGTGAACCAAGATGAAGACAGCCAAAACTCTTTTAGTAAAGTCCACGATGCAGTCCGACATCGAATAAAAATGGTTAGCAACCGCATGAAGGCAAGGTACGATCGAGCGGCAAATACCGATGGGTTTCAAGAAGGGCAACTGGTACTATTGTTCAACCCACAACGAAAGAAAGGACTATGCCCCAAATTGCAAACGCACTGGGAAGGACCCTACAAGATTGTCACGAAAATAAATGACGTCGTTTATCGCATCCAGAGGAGCGACAGTCCCAGGTCGAAGATGAAAGTTGTACATTTGGAGCGGCTGACCCCCTACGGAACGGGAACTGTGCCTATTCGGGACGAACAGGCTTAAGCGGGGGGCAATGTTACGAATATAACTTTAGATTTAAGTTAATTTAGATGAATTCCGTTAATTTAAGAATTTGAATTGTAACGTAAATTTCTACTACGCAGTTTATTTGAATAACTTCACAACAACAACCACTGTATAGATTTTTCTACATCCTTCCATTTCCTCTTTCATTTTCTATTTTGTTATTGTCGTACAATTCTTGTTAAACGTCATTCCTCTTTCTTTGTTATTCCCTCGCCTGTATATGTGTTGTTGTTATTCCTCTTTCTTTGTTATTCCCTCGCCTGTATAT